GGAAAATAAAAGTTCTAATGTCTTCTAGAACCTTCTAGAACTTAAAAAAGTGGCTTTCCTCTCTTCTCACTATTGCATTGACTAGTCTTAAAAAAAAAAAAAGAAAGAAAGTGGAGGTTGTAACTGGACATGGCAGCTCCTGCCTATAATCCTAGCATTCTGGAAGGCTGAAGCAGGGGGTTTGTTGAACTCAAGAGTTTGAGACCAGCCTGAGCAAGAGTGAGACCCCCATCTCTACAAAAATAAAAAAACTAGTGGGGTGCTGTGGCGGGCACCTGTAGTCCCAAGGTACTCTGGAGCCTGAGCAAGAGGATCTCTTGAGACCGAGAGTTTGAGGTTGCTGTGATCTATGATGAAGCCACAGCATTCCACCCAAGGAGACAGAGTAAGACCATCTCAAAAGAAAAATAAAAGAAATAAGAAAGTGGAGGTAGTGTGTGCTGTTAATTGACATTTACAGAAGTAATTAATAGAGTATATGAGCTTTTGAGTAATTAATAGAGTATATGAGCTTTTGTGTAACTATCAGGGATGGAGATTTAAATATCATTAAGAGAGCTACCATTTAAATTATGTTTTAATTTCTCTTTAATTCCACTCCTAAGTATGCACTTAGGAGTGGAATTGTCAGGTCATATGTCAACTGTGTTATTGTTGTTGTTTTAATTTTTATGTATTTATTTATTTTTGAGACAGAGTCTTAAGCTGTCGCCCTGGGTAGAGTGCTCTAGCGTCACAGCTCACAGCAACCTGAAACTCTTGGGCTTAAGAGATTCTCTTGACTCAGCCTCCCAAGTAGCTGGGACTACAGGCGTTTGCCACAGTGCCTGTCTATTTTTTTTGTTGTTGCACTTGATCTTAGCCAAAAGGCCGAAAAGCGATTTTTTTGTTGTTGCAGTTGTCATTATTTTAGCTGGTCTGGGCAGGTTTTGAACCTGCCAGCCTTGGTATATGTGGCTGGCGCCCTATGCAGTGAGCTATGGGTGCTGCCCAGCAACTCTATGTATAATTGTTTGAGGAACTGCCAGATATTTTTTCAAAGTGGTTGCACCATTTCACATTCCCACTACTAGTGTTGAGGGAGGGTGCTAATTTCTCTATATCTTCATCAATACTTACTGTTATCTTTTTTTTTTTTGAGACGGATTATTGCCCTGTTGCCCTGGCAGAATACAGTGGGGTCATCATAGCTCACTGTAACCTCAAACTTCTGGCCTCAAGCCTCCCGAGTTGATGGGGCTACAGGCGCCTACAATAATACCTGGTTAATTTTTCTGTTTTTACTAGAGATTGGGTCTCACTTTTGCTCAGACTGGTCTTGAACTCCTAAGCTTAAGTCATCCTCCTGCCTCAGCCTTCCAGAGTGCTAGGATTACAATCATGAACCACCACACTTGGCCCCTGACTTTTTTTTTTTTTTTTTTTTTTGAGACAGAGTCCCATTTTGTCATTCTCAATAGAGGGCCATGACATCACAGCTCACAGCAACCTCCAACTCTGGGGCTCAAGTGATTCTCTTGCCTCAGCCTCCCAAGTAGCTGGGACTGGCCCCTGACTTTTTCAAAAAACATTTTACGAGGCCAGGCTGTAGTCCCAGCTACTCAGGAGGCTGAGGCAAGAGGCAGGAAGATCCTTTGAGGCAAGAAGTGTGAGACCAGTATGGGCAACAGAGCAAAACTATCTTCTCAACAAAAAAATTCTTAAAAATGAGCCAGGTGTGGTGGTACATGCCTATGACCCTAGCTATTTGGGAGGCTGAGGTTGGAGGATTGCTTGAGCCCAGGAGTTCAGGGTTGTGATGAGCTATGATCATGTCACTATACTCCAGCCTGGGGTGCAGACTGAAACAATGTCTCAAAAAAAAAAAAAAAAAAAAGAGTAAAACATGACTAAGAGACACCCTTGGCCCTCTAACGTGTAAGCACACAATCAAGCTGCATAAGTCACCTATTATGGATGGTGATAAGTTTGTGTTCAAATCAAACCTTCTTAGCCAGGCATAGTGGTGCACTTGTGTAAGTCCTAGCTACTGGGGAAGCTAAGGTAGGTGGATCCCTCAAGCTCAGGAGTTTGAAACTGCAGTGATCTATGATGGCACCACTGTACTCTAGTATGGGAGACAGAGTACGATCCTGATTCTTCAAAAAACCCCAAACTCAAATCCTCAACAAAGTTAGTCTTAAGTATTTGGTGTTATAAATACTGCCTCTTGCATGATTCTTTTATAGCCCTGTATAATTGTTTTATTCAAAAGCTAAAGTTTATGTTTTTCTTCTCAATTCATTAGTTCTTCAATCGCTATACTCTATTTCAAAATAAATCAAATTTTCTGATCCAGTGTTGCATTTACCAGCACTGTATGCACACTGATTTTTACCAGTAAGTTACATCCCCACAGATGGTGTTTCTATTCCTGTAGCAGCCCCACCTACCCAGAGCCTAGGCCATCACTGGCCAAGCTGCCTTTATGCAAATTGGAAAAAGGTACTTATCCTCAAGATGTTTGATGCTACCTTCTGGAGCATTTGTCATAATAAATATGTGAGTTTTTAAAGTCTATGATATGGGCTCGGCGCCTGTGGCTCAAGCGGCTAAGGTGCCAGCCACATACACCTAAGGTGGCGGGTTCAAATCCCCAGCCCGGGCCCACCAAACAACAATGATGGCTGCAACCAAAAAATGACCAGGCATTGTGGCGGGCGCCTGTAGTCCCAGCTACTTGGGAGGCTGAGGCAGGAGACTCGCTTGAGCCCAGGAGTTGGAGGTTGCTGTGAGCGTGATGCCATGGCACTCTACCCAGGGGGATAGCTTGAGGCTCCGTCTCAAAAAAAAAAAATAGTCTATGATATGAAAGGTGCTCCATGTGGTTTCAAAGTCAAAAATCTGCAAACTGTATGCTGTATCTCTGGGACCCTACCATGGTCACTTGGTTTTCTTTTTTTCTGTTTTGCAGTTTTTGAACCCACCACCTCTGGCATATGGGGCCACCCTACCCCTTTGAGCCACAGGCTCTGCCCCATACATGGTTTTCTTGAAAAGAATGTATTTCTGGCTTCCTGTCCTTGTAGGGAGGGTTCAGGGTTACCTCACTATTTTCATAGTAAGCATCTGATTCTGCTTTCGGCCTCCTTCCTTGATGAGCATTCTTAGCAACAGACTCATATTCCTGCGTCAGTGGCTCTTATCTACACTTGTTCATGTCAATGACAAGTGACTTGTTTTATAAATTTGCAATATGAAGCTGGGCACAGTGGCTCATGCCTATAATCCCAGCACTCTGGAAGGCAAGGCTGGTCGATTGCTTAAGATTGTCCCCCGCCAGAATGCTAGGATTACAGGCTACATGTGTGGGCCACTGTACCAAGCCAGTTATTCTAATTATTATTATTATAATTATTTTAGAGACAGAGTCTCACTTTGTTGCCCTTGGTAGAGTGCTGTGGCATCACAGCTCACAGCAACCTCCAGCTCTCGGACTTAGGTGATTCTCTCGTCTCAGCCTCCCGAGTAGCTAGGACCACAGGCGCCCACCACAATGCCCAGCTATTTTTTTGTTGCAGTTTTGGTGGGGGCTGGGTTTGAACCTGCTACCCTTGATATATGGGGCCAGCACCCTACCCACTGAGCCACAGGCACCACCCAGTTATTCTAATTATTAAAAGACCTTTTGTTTCCTTAGTTCTTAGACGTTTCCCAAATATTACTGTAGTCCAGACTTCTATAAAAGTAGAATGTTATTGCTCTTGAGAGTACTAGATAGATAGTTGTATAACTAGAAATACTTATATCTTTTATTTTCAAAGTATCTTTCATTTAACAGAGTCCATCATTACTTAGTTTGTTTTTTTTTTTTTTGAAACAGAGTCTTACTATGTTGTCCTTGGTAGAGTGCTGTGGTGTCACAGCTCATAGCAACTTCAAACTCTTGGGCTTAAGTGATTCTTTTGCCTCAGCCTCCCAAGTAGCTGGGACTACAGGCACCCACCACAACGCCAGCTATTTTTCTGTTGTAGTTGTTATTGTTATTTGACAGGCCCAGGCTGGGTTTTAACCCACAAGCCTGGGCGTATGTGGCTGGCACCCTAGCTGCCCAGCTACAGGTGCCCAGGTAACATAGTTGCCTTTTAAAGAGTTTTCCTGGGTGGCACCTGTGGCTCAGTGGGTAGGGCGCTGGCCCCATATACTGAGTGTGGCAGGTTCGAACCTGGCCCCAGCCAAACTGCAACAAAAATAGCTGGGTGTTGTGGTGGGTGCTTGTAGTCCTGGCTACTCAGGAGGCTGAGGCAAGAGAATTGTCTAAGCCCTAGAGCTGGAGGTTGCTGTGAGCTGTGATGCCATTGTACTTTACTGAGGGCAACAAAGTGAGAATCTGTCTCTTAAAAATAAATAAATAAATAAATAAAAAATAAATAAAAAGTTTTCCTTAGCGCTGTCATAGTAGAGTGAATTGAAAGAATAAGGCAGCTCAGTGCCTGTGGCTCAAGTGGCTAAGGCGCCAGCCACATACACCTAAGGTGGCGGGTTTGAATTCAGCCCAGGCCCGCCAAATAACAATGACGGCTGAAACCAAAAAATAGCCGGGGATTGTGGCAGG